CACATATCCAGATTATACTACACACACACACACAAACAAATCATTTAATTGAATTTTAAAAATAAGTAGGACCCCTATTAGCAGCAGTAAGCAAGCCACAAGCAGGGTTCACATGAAGATTTCACATTTTTTCAAATTTAACGGCCGTCAAAAGTGATTATTATTGATATTTATTTATTTATTTTTTAATCCCATGGAGCAATTCATTTCATGTTTACTGGAAGCTTATTAGTCAATAACTAAAATTAAGTAAAAAATATATATATATATATATATATATATATATATATATGCCAGAGTATAACCAAATGAAAGAATCTTGGTGTAATGAAAATTTAAATGCTGAGACTATTGAGAATGCACATGAAATCTGACTCTAGTGTTCATGATTGCTGGTAAAAATATTTTTTATACTTTTATAAACAAAACTATTTCACCCTAAAGTGCATCTTCAACAAAATACATTATTAGATAAACCTTTCTCGTCCGGGCAAACTCTAACCGTTGCACAACCATATTTTTTCAACAAATATATAAATTTCCGTACACTAACAACAAAAGTAAAAGCATGATATATCTCTGAATAAATAAGGTAGATCGACCCGCCTAACCTTTAGGGCGCCTCACAGAATCATTTTCGTTCTTGTTCTCTTCATCAATGTATAACTCACATCTAAATATCGAACATAATATCTTTTCCGTTTTACAAGCATTAGATTCACTATGAAATACACATTGATCTCTTTTTCGAAGCCATCAACTACACTTGAATCTTTATCTCGGATGAAAAATTCATCTTCTATCAATTAGATATTGCCCCTCATCAAATTCAACCATCAAAACCCATCCTTACTTTCCAAAGGCCAGGAACAAGAAATCCAAAGGTTAATATCACCACTTCCAATTTTATAAATGGAAAACAATATATCCAATAAGAAATAAACCAGGGACTATTTCATGAGTCTGAGAATATAATACTTTGCCTACTACAGCTTGTGATGAGTGTTTGTACCTCAGAAGTCGAGGCTCCCACATTGCTTGCTCTGTAAACTCTCTGTCCCATTAGTTTCTTTCATATCCTTATTCCGCTCGTTGTCAAAACCTCGGCTACGCCCTATACCCAGCTTGGGCAAACCCCGGTTAAGTCCCTCCAGTAAGACACAAGCTTTACACCATTTCTGCAGATAGTTAGAGAAGACATATATAAGGATTACATTGTCTTCTACAGTGGACGACCAACATGATCATAACCACTACAGTTATAGGACACACAAATCACTTTCATCGGTTATTATATATTTGGTAGATCAAAGTAAATGAAGGGATAGGTGCAAGAACCACCCTCAGGTTTAGCCTAATTACAAACAACGCAATTATCTGTTCATTATCACAAATTTCCCTCTGAGGCATTTAATCTATTACAATTCGCATTTTTAAGGAGCATTTGATGTAAACGCAAACTTCAAGGTGGTATTTATAATTTCGAAAGATAACTAAAATTTTCTTAAGAAGCTAAATCTCTGGGTACTTCTCGTACGTATCGCTTAAATCAACCACATCATCTTATTAGCCTAGAAAGATACGAAAATAAACATATTTAAATTTTTCACTCTCTTCAGATGATCAAAGATAAAGTACAACAGTGTAAAACAAAACATTGTGGGAATTATAGATACAGAATTGCATAAGGCGAGATTTGCTTAAAATTCCTCACCTGGCTAGATATGTAACCACACCTTTCACAATTTCCCTGCTCTGGCATTTTAGTAGAAGTCGAGATTCTAAAGTCCTCGCCTGATTTTATGATATCGAGTATAGCTCTTGGCCTGAAACGACAGTGTTATACTGAAATAAGAGAAGAATGGCCAAGACAGCATAAATATTAAATACATGGGAATAGAATTAGTGCCCAACCTGATTCTCTCCAAATCTTTAATGAACTCCCTAGCAAAACCACGATAAGCGTTCGGGGAGTAAATACCTGTGATTTCAGAAGGAAAATATCACCATGTAAAGCAACCAGAATCAATATCAAATCGGTAACATTTAGACTAGCTACTTGCATTAGCTTCCCCCTAGGAGAGAGAAAAAAAAAAAGGAGGAAAAATAGAAAGAAAAAAAATATATATATCAAATCAAATAAATAAGAAAGTAACCAGACCAAAATCTCAGATTTTTTAACTACACTATATAAAAATTCAAACATAATATTGCAATAAAAACTTACACTCAGTAGAGAAGTAATCCAGCCGTTTGAAGTACGCATACGTGAGACTATGTTAAGAACTACATGTTTGTGACATCGATCGAAAGTAAACCTCACACAAATATTTAACCAAAAACAGCTACTGGAAATATAAACGAAATAAAATAGGAGCAATATTATAGCAAGGATATATCACAATTTCCTTCTCATAAGTATATTTAAAAGGCTTGCATCTCGGAATAGGTCCATCTTCACCAGTTGTTATAGAGGTGCATCTACTCAGCCTGGCATTTCAACAATGTGTTTCAAGGATTATGAAAACTGACATACATAACATGTGGAGCAAGAAAAGTACTTGTGTTGAAAACACCGTACCGAACCGGCCGGTAATACCGGATACTGGCCATTGGTAGGGTACAATTACACACAAAATACCTAATTTACGGTAATACCGCATTGTTTCGGGATCCTACCTTAAATAACATCCAAAATACTGGTCAAAACAAATAAAAAAATTCAACCAAAAAAAAAAAAAAAATCAACAAAAATAAAAGAATTACTACCTTAAAAAGTTCAAATTTAAATTGGTAGTTGGAATGCTTTATTTTTATCTCACTGAGAAGTTCAAATTTAATGAATGTGGTCATTTATTTTATTTTATTTTTTATTTGGCATTATATTTTGGTGTACATTTATGTTTATCATTATATTTGCTAGTCCGGTAATACCACCAATATTACCAGTTCGACCGGCATACCACGTACCGGTGAATAGACCAGTATGACCACCGGTACGTTATTTAAAACACATTCAATTACCCTATCCACGCCCACTAATCTTACTTTTAAAACCGTAATACTATACCTGGCAATATCACCTCTCAATATGTTTAAGAGGACCGTTTCAGCTATGTCGTCTGCATTATGTCCGGTTACAAGCTTGTCTACTTTCAAAAGTGCAGCACCACGATCAAGGGCCTTGAAAACAAAGTGAAGTTTCTAAACACAATTTGGAATCCAACACCTCATGAAACGCAAGACGAAGTTCCACGGAATAACAAACAAACAAATACTTCCTGGTTATAATTAACAAATGTTGAACGGAACAACATGCTACAATATCAAGTTCGGGGGGTGGGGGATGTTAAAGGTCGTTAAAACTGTGTCAAAAGTGATAGAAAAGAACAATGTACCTGGCGACGGAAAACACCACAAAAAGTGCAGTTATTCTTCAAACCAATAAGCTTCACAATTTCATCCATCGTCCACCCATATAGATCCTTATATGAAACAACTTTGAGTGGAAGACCATACTGAAAGTGTGTAAAGCAAATGAACCTCATTAAAAGCCACCAAAGCTTGAAAAGAAAAGAAAGGCTTGGTGACTAAGTATAGAGCTAAGGGCATCAATTATTTTCAATAATCCATACTTGTAGCCATCCTATTATTCCTGCTCTAAGTGATAAATCGTTGATATTTCTTCTAAATATCAACTCCAACACACTAAAAGTAATAGATGGTTATAGTTTAACAACATCCAAACCTTAATTTTCTATGCAATAAGCATCACATAAAGTGTAGTAACAAAAGAAGCAAAAACATCGGTGCCGGAATCGACTCCGTGTATAGCAATTTAATCACTCGAAACCAAAAGGATCAAATACCTGGATTTCATTTCTCTTGACAGTTTCAAGTGAATCATCCCTATAACCAGTGATGCCCTCATCAATCGAGAGCAGGAAAAGATCCAGCCCGTAATCGTGCCTTCGGTTCAATTCGGACAGCACATAAGCAAGCACAGTGGAATCTGCAAAAATAAACAGAAAACAGAAATAAAAACAATTCACCTGAAATCAAAATTTAATAATTACTCCTACACACCGAGTTCTATCTACCCGATTCTCGTTACCGTTAGGAAGTACAAAAGTTAATTTTCTCACACCGAAAAACGAAACGGGTAAAAGAATGAAGAAATTTCTCACCTTTTCCTCCAGAAGCTCCAATGGCGATGCGCTCACCCCGCTTTAAGAGGTGATTATCTACGATAACTCGGTGAATTTCGTCTTCGAAGACTTCGAAGAAGCACTCCTTGCATATCTATACACAAAGGGAAGAGACAAATGTTTGTTCTAGAAAAACTTGCGGAGACAAAAGCGGAGAAAAGGGAGAAGAGAATCAAAATAGTACTTGCTCGAGGGTTTTGGGACGCTTGAGCGCCGCCCTTCTGGCGTTGCAAATGGTGCATAGCTTACCACTTCTAGGCTTTACCGGCGGCGCCGCCGCCTCTGCCTCCGACGTCATACCAGAAGAGGGGTATACCTTCCCTCCCTTATTTTTCAGGGGTTAAAGAGAATTTCATAAAATCGCAATTATTATATGCAACCTAAAAAAGTTGTTTATGTAGCCCTCTTTGAAAATTGGGCATATAATTTACTGTTTTTTTTTTAATTTTGATTTAATGAATTGATCCTTTTCTTTCAATTTTTTTGTAGATTAAACCTTATAGGGAACATGGTTTAGTTAAAAGGTTGTTGATTTTTTTTATTTTTTTTATTTTTTTTCTACTGAATGGTTTTCAATTATCTATTAAAATAACAGTAACATTTATTTATTGTTTCAAATTGTAATTTTATAGGAATGCATTTGCTAGATTAATTCCAAGTTACCAACTCTAAGATATTGGAATAAGTAATGTCGATTTATGACATTGCATGAACTATAGTTAGGGATTCCTTTTTTTAAAAAAAAAATAAATAAATAAAAGATTATTAGTACTAAAAAGAAAATTAGTTGAAGTGAAAAATAAATTGACTCACTTGGACAGGGAAAGTGACAGAATAAATTAGCTTCGGAATAGATAAACAGTAAGACTTATATAAGTTAATAATGCTGGGACCATGAAATTTTATTAACTTAGAGAGATATTAATTTAAAGAGAGCGCTCACGAGTTAGCAAATATAAATTTTAGCAAGTGTAGTTTGTATTTATGGGCAAGTAGACTTGTTAGGAAATAGTCTTAATTAAATTTGAAAAGAAAATTATAAGTACAAGAGTAAAAAAAACATTAGGAAATGAGTTTCTTGGTTAACAAGTATTAGGTAGCTATAAATGTGTAGTTTATGTTTTAGGGTTTTATTTGTTTGGTGTAATTTTTTTATCCAACAATGGCGTCTCATCTAAAAGTGGTTCAAAAATCAACCATGACCAATCAAATACAAAAAGTATTATGTGAGTATAGGAGAAATCACCCCACAATCACTAAAAAAGAATTACAACAATGGCATGATGAAAAATATCATTTGAAAGTTAGTCAAGGTGCAATATCAAACACTATTAAAAGATCAGTTGAGTATCTTTCAACAAATTTAGAAAAATGAGGGAATGTTAGACGACGCAAACCAGCAAAAATTCTAGAGATGGAGAAGGTTATTTATGAGTGGTTTCTCTAATACAAAGGCAATGAATATTATTGGAGAGCTAATTTTGGATAAGGCAAATGAGACGATGAAGCTTTTATACTCTCAGCAGCCTTCTGAGCACAACCTTTTTGTTCGGGTGGTTGAGAAGTTCAAGCTGAGACATGGTATCAAGTCATTCCGTCATTTTGGAGAAAGTGGTTCGGTTGACACAAATGACGTGGAGCAGAAATTGAAGTCTATAAGGGAAAAAATATACTAGTTTTCCAAGAAAGATGTTTTCAATATGGATGAGACTGGTTTGTTTTACAAGTTACAAGCTGATCATTCTCTTGCAACAAAGCAACTTGAAGGAAGAAAACAAGACAAACAAGGCTTACTTCTTTGCAATGAGGATGGCTCAAAAAACATTCCCCTATGGATTATTGAAAGTATGCAAAGCCATGTTGCTTTAAGACTATCAATATGAGTGGCTTGAATTGTTAATATTGTGCCAATAAAAGAGCATGGATGACTAGCGTGCTTTTTGAAGAATATGTTCATTGGCTAAACCAAAAAATGCATGGTAGAAGAATTTTGTTGGTGTGGTAGATAATTGTCCAGCCCATCCAAAAAATGTTGGACTCCAAAACGTGGAGTTTTTCTTTCCTTTTTTTTTTCTTTTGCCACCTAACATGGCATAAAAAATCCAACCATGTGACGCAGGTATAATAAGAAATTTCATGATGGATTACCACAAGCGATTTTACCAAAGATATTGGAAGGCTTTGAGATTGGACAATCTAATCTAGAAAAGATTAATGTTTTAGATGCCATCATTCGTGCAGTATCAGCTTGGACGGTAAATGTCTAACAAGAGACAATAGCAAATTGTTTCTGACATTGTAAAATTCATTTGGAGGATGAAGCAACCTTAAGTAGCTCTAATGAAGTGGCTTTTGAAGAAAGCATTTATGAATATGAGAAAATGATTAATGATCTGAGTTGCCACAACAAAATGGATGTAAATCACTTATCAGATTACCCAGGTGAACATGATGGATGTTTAGAGGTCCAAAACTTAGAAAAAATTGTGGATAGTATCACTGAAAATTTCGTTGAGTATGAAGTTGATAATTCAGTACCTTTAAAACCGATCACACAAAAGGAAGCACTAATGGCAGCTACAACTCTTCGCAACTTTTTGTTGCAGTTTGAGAGTATGACATTTAGAGTTTTTGAATGCAATGAGAAAAATTAAGGATGGAATCAATTTGAATTTGAATTTCATGAAGAAACAAAAAACAATATATTCATATTTTACTAAATTGTCTTAATTATTTTGTAATTTTACAAGATTATTAATTTATAATTTTGATGGGACTATATTTTATAAAGGGGTATTTCTAAAAATTATTATCTTATTATTTTAATAAATTTTACATATTACATCGGTCCAAGTCGGGACTGGGAGAAAATATTATTTTAGATATATTATTGATTTATCGAGTATTAATCTATAGAGTTCATTACTACGTAAATTAAGAATCATTGCGTAAAAATTTATATTTTGAACTAAAACATCAAAATTTAAATATTACATATTTATAAGTAAATAGTTATTCTAGAATTTTTTATAGTTTTAAAAGCCTGTTGAAATAACAAATTATGCTATTGCATGAAGTAACATTGCTTTGTTTGGTAAATGTCTTTTTATGTAGCTTTTAGCTGTTTGAAGTCATTTAGACTATGTTTGGTAAAACTAGCTGATAAGCTAGCTGATAGCTGATAAGCTAGCTTATAGCTTATCAGTAATTTTCGAGCTTATAGCTTGTAGCTTACGACTTATAGCTGAAAAGCTAACTTATATGATAAAAGTGTTTGGTAAAATTAGCTAATAAGCTAGCTGAAATAAAAAATTCAACTAGTTTATTTGAAAAGCTACCTAAACAAGTTTATCAAATAAGCTCGAACGTTTTAAATAAGCTCGTCCTACCAAACAGAGCTTATTTAAATACAGGGAGCTTATAAGCTAATCAAATAAGCTATAAGCCAGCTTATTGGTTTATCAAACATAGCCTAAGTTGTTTGACCATTTAAAATAGTTAAAAAATTGTTTGGTAAACCAGCTTTTTAAAATGGCTTTATGAGAGAAAAAGCTGATATTAAAAACGCTACAAAGAGCAGCGTTTAAAGTTAGCTTATGTGCAATTATTTATATATGTTGTACAATTATTCAGTCAAATGGGAACTAAAATGGGTTGGCGCAGGAGAAAGAATAAAAATAAAAAGAGAAATAAAAGAAGACGAATGATGGCGCTGGAGCAGGATTAAGTTGAACAAATTGATTGTTCTCCCATTACTTTACTCATTTTTTCTTTTTTTGATATTTTTTTTTTTACATAATGAACAAACATTGTATAGAAATTGTAACTCTATAAAATATTCATTGTTGTTTAATCACTATTTTTACTATTTATTAATAATATTGTAGACATCAAAATTTTAATATTTTATTAATTGATGTCTTTATTTATTTTGGAACATAAATCCAAGATAAATAAGATATTTAATTAATAAAGTAATTATTTCTTGTCCACCAAGTCAAATCTTAGGATAAGGAAAGAGATTATATCAAATCTTAGGATAAGGAAAGAGATTATATCAAATCAAGAAGGACCAATCAAATTGATGTCTTCTTTTCCAAGACTCTCTCTCCTACACCTATAAATAGGACTCTCCCCAATCCCACAAATCACACCTCAAACACCTCAAACACCTCAAACAATATCAAACACATCTCAAATATTAAAGTCTCAAATTCAAGATCTCTTAAGAACCCTCTTGAAGATTTGAAGAAGTTTTTGAAGAACCGCCTGAAGTCCATTCAATGAAGAAGAAGGCCAAGAAGAAGAAAAAGAGGCGGCGACTCTTCCCCAAGAAGTAAAGAGACGACTTCCACTCCTCTCAAGTCAATCCAAGAATATCAACGACGTTCAAGCGACATTCAAGCCCCGTTCGTTGAGAAGTTCAAGCAACGTAGCGTTTGATTCGGGAAAAAGCTCTCAAGCCCTCGAGTCAACGTTATGCAAGCTCAATCCATATTCGAAGATCCAAACCCAAATCCATGAAGAGAAGAATCAGAGGAGATAAATAGAGATTGTACCCGCAATATCATTTGATCGAAATATATTCAAGTTGTACAAAAGTTTTATGTTTTTCATAAAATTTGTTGTTACAAATTTGGCACGGCCAGTGGGACAATTTCTACCGCTCATCTCTTCTCTTCAAATCAAGTTCGAAGATCTTTGAAGATGTATGAAGACCTCTTTGAAGAAAATGTACATGGAGACAATGAAGAATGATGTCTTCCCAAGCCATGAAGCATGGGGGCAAGTCACATGAAGAGCTCCATCAAATATTCAGATGCTCCTTGATACGAGCTTAAACTATCTACATATTCAAATGCTCCTTGATATGAGCCTAAACTATCTAAAAATTCGTTGCTCCTTGATACGAGCTTAATCTATCTACAATGTTCCTTGATATGAGCCTAAACTATCGATAAAGCTCCTCGATATGAGCCAAAACTATCCAAATATCTAATTCAAATGCTCCTTGATATGAGCTTAAACTATCTACATATTCAAATGCTCCTTGATATGAGCCTAAACTATATACATATTCAAATGCTCCTTGATATGAGCTTAAACTATCTACATATGCTCCTTGATATGAGCCTAAACTATCTTATGGCTCCTTGACACGAGCATAAAATGTCTTCATATCAAGATCTCCTTGACACGAGAATAAAATGTCTACATATCAAACTTGAAGGCTCCTTGACACGAGCATAAAATGTCTACATATCAAGATCTCCTTGACACGAGAATAAACGGTCTACA